TAAGAAGGAGAGGGGGGGGGGGGGAAGAGATGAGCAAGTGAATATATTTGTGAATATTCATGAGCAAGTCAAAACCCCCAAATTAACAAGGAAATTAATTTCCAAACTGATTAGGCTGCCAACTCCTTTTATTTAAATAAATCAACAATTGCCTTCATGTGACTCCTGCAGAAGAATGCAGAGCTAATCCTGCTTCCTCCCAGGAGGAAGTTTTGTGCTGCCTGGGATGACCAATACCCCAGCACATTCTGGGGACAGGCGAGCGCTGCGGCTCCAGCCGCCTGCCTTTCAGCTGCCAGGAGATTTCCCTTTGCCCACTGCTCCGGATGTTGTGGTTTCATGATCGCCCGAGCCAATCTAACCGCTGGCTGCTATAGTCGTGCTCTCCCTGGTCCCACCCTCTTACTCACGCTGGCTCTGAAAAAGCTGTTCCAGCATGCCAAGCTGGCAGAAAACTCATGCAACAATTAAAAAAAAAGATTTTTCCCAAGTCAGAGCACTGAAACGGCTCAGCCAAGTGCCCAGTGAGCAACACCACAGGTGAGGAAGGTAACCTAACCTGACTTGGGAGCTGGGCCCAGTGCCAAAGTTAGCCCTGCTACGAGCAGCGGAATGAAGCAGATGATATCTAAAAGTCTCTTTCCACCAAAATTTTAAGAGTCTGAGACAGAGCAGAGCTGCAACAGCCAGCTTGGCTTAGTGATCTTGTGGGGCGTCTCCAGTTTGGTGTGGGGGTGATCAGCCAGCCTGGCTTAGCGGTCTTGCGGAGTGCCTCTGTGTCGTCTTCTCCAGGAACAGCCTCATGCCTTCTCCTGCGCCATCACCGAGGCTCAAGGGACTGACTGCTGCTTCGAGCACAGTAACTCACGCTGCACAGCAACGCGCCTGGTAGTGCCAGCACACGGGAGACAGCAGGGAACTGCCAGCCAAAACTTAGGTGGGTTGAATCTGTGAAACTGAATCCTCAATGAGCGAGAATGAGGGTGAGTCGCAGCCCCCTCTGGGGTCAAGTTGTGAATGGTTACAAATAAAAAAAAATTAGTATTTGGGTGTGGTTATAGGAGCCACTGGCTTGCAACTATGGGAAGAGAGTTACCCCGCTCCCCTCCACGCCTGGCCTTGCTCTCCGGTTCCCTACAGCGCTTATGAGACTGAGGCAGTCCAGTTTGCCAACCTGGCAGAAAATCAGCTTGCTAAAAGTCCTTTCTGTTGGGCTAGCGTGACGAAGGCGTTTAGCATTCGGCCAGGGAAGCGCTAGAGCCGGCACCCGTGAAGGGGCAGGCAGGGACCGCCCCAGGCGGTGGCAGCGAGCCCTTGGGTCAACTCATCTGTAACAACCAAGCTGCCCCATCTCGCCAGGCTG